ACCTCTGGGACTTTCTACAATAAATAAACTTCCTCTTATAGTTTGAGTCTTGGCCCTGAATTCTTTCTCAGGTACCAAAGTTTCTAAACCCAGTTCTTTTCACCACCAACAGTAAACAAATAAAGTGTGTCAGGTAGTGGTAAGAGTTCTGGAGAGACACGGGGCAGGTAAGGTAGATGGTGGCAGCCGGGGGTGTGGCTGGGGGTAGGGGTGGTGGGTATGGTGGTGGTGGTGGTGGGTATGGTGGATGGCCGGAATGGATTTGGTAACGAGGGAAGTGGTTTTGGAGGTGGCAGAGGCTACAACGATTTTGGCAGTTACAACGATTAACCTTCAAATGTTGGGCCCGTGAAAGGAGGAAGCCTTGGAGGCAGAAGCGCTGGGCCCTGTGGTGGTGGAGGCCGCGCTTTGCCAAACCACGCAGCCAAGTGGGTGGGCGGTGCCGGCAGCAGCCGTGATTGGGGCCGTGGCAGAAGGTTTGAATTACCGCCAGGAAACAAGGCTTAGAGGAGAGGAGAGCCCGAGAAGGGCCAGGGCAGCCAGAGGTCACAGCGATGTGTGAACGCAGACAGCTCAGAGGTGGCAGGACCTACCTGCCACAGAGCAGGCATGGTTTGGACAGCACTCCTGTGGACAAAAGCCTCAAGGACTGTATTTGTGACTGATTGTGTAACAGGTTGTTTTCCTTTCTGTTCTGAGGAAAATGTAACGCATTCCAACAAAGGGTCTTAATGTAGGCTTTTTTCCCTCTCACCATCCTGTTGATTGCTAAATGTAATAGACTGATCAGAATGCTGAATAAATTGTCTTCTTAAAAATTTTAAAAGAACTTGGAAAATAACTCCAGAATGGCAAAATATAGTGTCAAGCCATATGAGATTGCTGTGTTTGTAGGTCAGATAAGGTTGAACATCAGAAATTTCATATGGTTCAGCCTAATGGATGGAAACATGCCGTATTGCTAATTTGCTATTGCCACTTTCTATGACTTGTCAGGACTCATTGGGATACGTTTCTTCTATCGGGTGTAACCCTGTCTCCTTGCAGTTCCCACCCAATGGCTATTGTTGTGTTTTCAGGGCAATAGCGAGTAGTGGAGGAAAGACCCTGCCCCAAGCAGCGCTTTCCATATTGAAACGGAGTTGGCGTGATGCCGTGTCTGATTCTTCGTTCATTTTCTGATAGGGTTTCCTGACTAATCCTCATCTTGCTCACTCTGCCTTCTGAGTGAGTTCCAAGCCATCGGCAGGACGTGGCAGCGTTTCCCACTGTACCCTGGTCCCAAGGAGAGCTCCCCACCTCAGCCCACTAACGTTCTGTCAACCAACAGGATCCAGACTTGGGGTGCAGTGAAGAAGGAAACTTTCATCAGCTCAATGTTTATAGCTCGGCTCTGAGGTTGCCAGAGGCCTCTAAGGGTAGACAGTGCTTCTGTACTGCTCTTCTCTGGTCCATGCTGGTCTGCTGTGTACTATGCTCCGGTCTGGTCTGGTCTGGTCCAGTCTGTGCCAGTCTGCTGTGGCCTGTGTTGCTCTATTCCATTCTGCTCCTGGGAGACTTCTTTGATGTTTCAACACAGCCAGGGAAACACAGTCTTTGGTGAAAAGGGAAAGTGGCTGCCGGAGCCACAGGGGAGCCAGTTTAATATGGACAAAAGTCCCTACCCACCCCCTCGGCAAACCCACCTCTGATTGGACCGCCACCATGCAAATGAGGACTCCAAATCCTCACAGTTTGATTGGTCCAAAAAAGCACTTTCCTGATTGGTCAGAATGGTTGGTGAAGAAGCTAATGGGGATTTAGCTGCGCAACTGTAATTGGATGGGGAAAAACTCAGTCTTAGTCCTTAAAATAGGTTCCCAAGAGCTCCCAGATGAGGGCCAGCTCAGATGGCAGAAACTGCGGCAGAGGGGCAATGCAGAGGCCGGGAGTCCAGTGCAGGCTCGTCCATGACGTGCAGTTGGCATGAGAGGTGCCTGTGTAGAAATGGCTGCCAGTTCTGACTTGTTTTGTTTTGAAATGTGAGCCCAGCTAAGCCCCCAGGATCCCTTTTTAGGAGGCATCTTCTTTCTCAGAGTCCCCAGTTCTCTGAGTTCCTGACCTTCAATAACTATAGACGCTGTCTTCTGGCTCTCCTTCTGGAGGGAGTGGGGCTCCCAGTGGCCCCGAGAGCCATTCCCTCCATGGCAATGGGCGGTGGTGCCAGGTTTTCAGCCATTAATTCCTGGAGGTAGAATAAGAGGGGTTCCCAGGTCCAGAAGCTTGGCTCTGGCCATGCTGGCACCACAACCTAGCTCTTTTGTATGTCCCCAAACTTGGAGTGCTCTGTGTGGAGGGCCTTCTTGGAATTAAAATTTTTTTTATTTTATTTATTTTTATTTATTTTTATTTTTTTTATTTCAGAGAGGAAGGGAGAGGGAGAAAGATAGAAACATCAGTGATGAGAGAGAATCATTGATCAGCTGCCTCCTGTAGGCCTCCAACTGGGAATTGCATCTGCAACCTGGACAGGTACCCAAACCGGGAATGGAACCGTGACCTCTTGATTTATAGGTTGACACTCAACCACTGAGCCACACCAGCCGGGGTCTCTTCGCTTATTAAAACACATTTTTTTCATGCCTGGCTCTTTGGTCCTGGCTACATGTCACAAAAAGAAACTGGAATCCCAGACTCCCCTTTGAAAGGGCAGCCCCCTCAACAACGTAGGAAAAAGACAGACCTTGTGGCTCATGAGCTATCCCTTTTTAAAAAAATATATTTTATTGATTTTTTACAAAGAGGAAGGGAGAGGGATAGAAAGCTAGAAACATCGATGAGAGAGAAACATCTATCAGCTGCCTCTTGCACACCCCCGTACTGGGGATGGGCCCTCAACCAAGGCACATGCCCTTGACTGGAATTGAACCTGGGACCTTTCAATCCACAGGCGGATGCTCTAGCCTAGGGGTGTCGAACTCAATCAGAGAAGGGGCCAAAATCTAAAATCCAGCCTAAATCGCGGGCCGAATGGTTTACTGAACAGTCATAAACTGACAATGTTAACCAGAAATGTGAATTTAAAATGAGTGGAACAATCTTTTCCTTAACAGTGCTGTTAACCAACTCACATGCTATCAAGGATTTGGCCCGCAGGCCTTGTGTTTGACACGTGTACTCTAGCCACTGAGCCAAACCGGTCAGGGCAGCTATCCCTTTCTTATGGGAGACACAGCTCCCCAGAGCTGGGCATGGGCTCCTCGTGGATTTAAAGTCTCCATCCAGGTGAACGAATCTCAGGAAACAGTGGGAATCTGGTGAATCGAGGAGAAAAGCCTGGTGCTGTGTTCAGGCACCTGGGCTGCCTGTGCTGGGCTGCTCCGGGGGTCTGCGACGTGTCCATACTGCTCAGGTACCCAGAGGGCAGGAAAGCGCATTCACGTTTCTCTCTGTCACACATCAGAGAATTCTAGGGCCAGAATTCTAGGTATTGTCAAAGGCGGGAGATCAGACCCCTGGGGTCCATGATTCTGATGCATGTTAGGGGTGCCAAACGGGTGGAGATGAAGCAACTTGGATTTTTCGGAGAGTACGCCTCCAGTGTTCCCCACCAACTTTTCATTCAGAACACGTGGCTCCTGCACCTCACATGCCCACGGCAGATCAATGGCCCGGGGAAGGATCCAGGCTTCTGACCCCCAGGCTGCTCCACCGCAGCTTGTTTCCTGCACACGGCCCTGACTCATTGCATCCCTGGCTCCTCTGGGACTCCGTCAGCAAACAAGCTTGGCTCACCCTCCCTTAAAGAGCCAGTCCACCTGGCCGATGCGGCTCATCATCCCGTATACCAAGAGGTTTGATTGCTGGTCAGGTCACATACCCAGGTGGTGGGTTAGGTCCCTGGTCAGGGCATGTTTGAGAGGCAACCAATCAATGTTTCTCTCTCTCTCTCCCTCCGCCCATCATCCCTTGTCATCTCATAGGGCCCCTTCTCGGCCCCTCTCCCTCTCCATGTGCCCAGGGCAGCTTCCCAAGGTCCTGAGAGTGTAAACAGGAATTGAGGTGCCAGCTGTAAAGGCAATCCTTCCTTCTTCCCACAGCATGGTCATCAACTCATACCCAATCTCCCGTCCACTCAAAGCAAAGCATCCTTAGGCCCACGGCCCCTGCCTCTCGCACCTCTGCCGCCCCACCGGAGCGCGCTGCAGTCTGCCTTCTGCTCCTGCCAAGCCTCCAAACAGGTCTTGCTCCAGCTGCCAAGTCCAACGGGCACCGTTTAGTGATTTTCTTCTGTTACCGGATCATTTCTCAAACAAAAGTTAAATCACGATTTTCATGCAAATATAAAGTGCATCAAAACTGGTGTTTAATCATTTATTTAATGAGAGATCCAGTACAATGTTTTAATCGGTTCAAAGAAAAATTCTGAATGCCACACCGATAGGGGCTAGCCAGGAATTCTGAAATGAATTGGCCAGTAAATGTAAAGCTGATCTGTCCACAAGGCACTAATCAATTGCACTCTGCCACAAACAACTAATTTGCATTTCTAAGGACAAGAATCTTTTCCATGATCAGTTTTTTTTTGTTTTTTTTTTGTTTTTTTTTTTTACAATTTACAGGATTGTAAAATAGCTGATAGACCAAGGCAGGAATCAATGGGAAAGTTAGACAGAACATCTAATTTTTTTTTTTTTTTTTTGCCTCCTTTAGTCTTTCCTGACACTTCCTTGACTTTCCTGCAGCATTTAACACCAGCGATTATCAGCTAAGGAAGCTCGAACCTGTGGAGAATCTTTATGAGTTTCCGTGAGTCAAACTGACCACAACTGCTGGAAAGCAAAACCTCAAAGAACTGAGACAGTGCTCTGGAAAAGGGCAGTTCTGCACTCTGCTTTACAATCAAAAGAGAAGCTGTTGGTGGGTTACATGAAATCCATGGGTGGCGGTTGGGGAAACCTCTGGGACTGGCTGAAAAGCAGAATGATAGACACATACCTTCTTTACACAGGTGGGTACGGGACAGTTAACAGTCACCAGTGAACACGCCAATGACAGCGAGTGGATCTGTGGTCTGCACTCCAGTAAGGCACCCGTGCAGGGAGGGGTCTGAAAAAGGGGAAACTCCTTTGTTTTCGCAAAGCGTGTTTATCAGGTATGTTATCCTAGATGCAGAAAGACAACCAATCAGGAAAGTGCCTTTTGGGTCAAGCAAACTGGGACAGGCTGCTAAGCAGGCAAGCAGAATAGAGAAACTGAGACACATGGTTAAACAATAGTTTGCAGCCACTTAGAAAACCTAGATGTCAAGAAGTTTCAGCCATCTAGTAAGTCCTGTCTTCCCTAAACCAGGGGCTCTTCACCTGTGAACCGGGGAGTTCCCTTTTTAATTACGCAACCTGTAACAGGTGCATACTCTTTCACTAGGACGTGTCAGTACGTCACGCCCAGAGGACGTATTTTTATATTATTATTTTTATTTACTTATACTTAATTAAAATAAATGAAATATATATTTTTTCATTTATTTATATATAAAGCACAAAGGAAAATACAAAATTACAAACAAATAGAAAAGAATACCAACAAAAAAATGGAAACATTGAATTAAAAAATTATAAATTTTACAAACAATTATAAAGATTACAAAAAATATATACCGTTCCTCTCAGGGTGCAACATATATTTCAAGGACGTATTCATATGTCCTACCCGTTCCCGATATTGTTTACGTTTGACATATTTATAGGTCCTGCTCGGTTAACAGGTTAAGAGTAAATGGTCTGCAGTTCTCCTCCCCAACCAGAGGGTGAACAGCTTAAACCACCTCACTCAGGGAGACAGCGGAAACCCAGTTAGTGCCGTTTGCCAACCACACCCAAGGACAGATGGAGTTAAAGGAATAAACCTCATTTTGGCACATCAGCATAAAACTGGTGAATATTCTTTCGGGATCTTCCCCTAAGATCTCCCCTAAATGCCCCAAACCCCTTGAAAACTCCTAAAAACTAAGGTGCAGTGCGTGTTCTCCCTCCCAGGAGCACACCTGAGCCTCTCCTCTCCTGCTCCTTCCCCCGCAGATGGGCATCGCCCGAACTCTAAGGCCCTGCACCAGGCTCGCAGCCAGGGCAGCAATGGGCGGCAGCAGGTCATCCTAGACAACCCTCCCGAACTGTCCAAGGCTCTTTTCCTCTGATGTCTTAGTGAGTCAAAGCAGCCAGGCCTGGCCATTTCCCCAGCCCTTCCTGCTTCCCTGTCCCCAGCCTTAATAGCCATCCTCTCAAAGTCACCTGGACTCATCTTAGGAAAATGGTCCTGCACAAAGGCAAGAACCCTCGCACGACTGGCTGGCCCGGGCAGGCAGACTAGCTCCAGGGCCAGGTCTCCTTTCCGATAACTCAGTGGTCTGCCATCTGCAGCTCTCAAGCCACATGCGGCTCTTTGGCCCCTTGAGCGTGGCTCTTCCACAAAATACCACGGCCTGGGTGAGACCATTTTGAAGAAGTGGTGTTAGAAGAAGTTTAAGTTTAAAAAATGTGGCTCTCCAAAGAAATTTCAATCGTTGTACTGTTGCTATTTGGCTCTGTGGACTAATGAGTCTGCCGACCACTGCGATAACAAAACAGCAAAGATGGGAGTCCTGGTTTGCATGAGGGTGTAGTAATCGGGGACCAGGGGTGGGGACTTCCTATGTCTCCATAAGCCGGCTCTCTGGTTCTCCGGGTGCACTTTCCCTTTCCACCAGGGACTGAAGAGTGATTTTCCTGCCAAAACTGTTTTAGCTCAGTGGTAGAGCGTCGGTCTGCGGACTGAAAGGTCCCGGGTTCGATTCCGGTCAAAGGCATGTACCTTGGTTGCGGGTGCATCTCCGGTAGGGGGTGTGCAAGAGGCAGCTGGTCGATGTTTCTCTCTCATCGACATTTCTATCTCTCTATCTCTCTCCCTTCCTCTCTGTAAAAAAAAAATCAATAAAATATATATTAAAAAAAAAAAGTGGTTTTCCTGGCTGAGCTGGAACACTGATGGTGGCTTGCCCAAGGAGAGGGGAGCAGGCAGAGCAGACTGGCACAGGCGGGAGCAGAGCAGGGATAGCGCGGCAGGGCTGTCTAGCTGGAGGGCCCGGCCCCGGGGCTGTCTGGCCTCGGGCTGCCTCACAGCCATGCTGCTTCACAATTGAGCTGTTTCGCACGGAATCAAACTTCCTTCTTCATCACACCCAGATTTGAGGATTCCAGTGCCATTTCTTCTTTCTGGAATGGGTTGTTCTCTCCTTCAAACACTTGTCCTTCTCCTTTTATCTTTTCCTAGCTAGCTCCTGTTCATCCTCCCTGGAGATATTTTTTAAAAATATATATATTTTATTGATTTTTCACAGAGAGAAAAGGAGAGGGACAGATAGTTAGAAACATCGATGAGAGAGAAACATCGACTCAGCTGCCTCCTGCACACCCCCCACTGGGTACATGCCCTTGGCTGGAATCGAACCCGGGACCCCTCAGTCTGTAAGCTGACGCTCTATCCACTGAGCCAAATGGGTTTCGGCCCTGGAGATTTTCTAGATTAGGGGTTTCTCCTAGGTGTCCCCATCCTGCACTCAGAGTCACACGTTTGTGACTGTTGGCTTAGCATAGGAAGAGCTGTGGCTTCTTCTCTTTGAGCTGGTATATGGGCTGTCATTGTTCATTTCATGGTTTTCTCACGATAAGGCAGCTCCCTGCAGGCAGAGACTGAGCTTGGTAGACCTCTTCCCACCCTCAGTGTTCTCTTCCTAAGCAATTCTGGCTACTCTCTCCTGAGGTTTCATCCAATATGTGGGGTAAAGTAGGTTTACAGTTTGTATGGAAAACAAGACAATCATTAATAAGCAATACACGGATGAACGACGGCCCTCGCCGGTTTGGCTCAGTGGATAGAGCATTGGCCTGAAGGGTCCCGGGTTCGTTTCCAGTCAGGGGTGCGTGCCTGGTTTGCAGGCTTGCTCCCCAGGAAGGGGAACGTGCAAGAGGCAGCCAATGATTCTCTTATCATCGATGTCCAGCAGTGGTTCTCCTATCATTATTGGACACAGTGCAAAGCTCCCGGGTGTGGAAATAAGTAAATTGTGCTTCCTGTCCTTTAGGAATGTGCAGAAACAGACCTGCATGCAAGAAATCGCTAAATGCCAGGACTCGGAACACAGTGCTGCTGGCATGGCAGGAGGAGAAAGCCAATACTTGCACCTGCTGAGGGTTCGCAGTGAGGAGAGTGGACCTTGTGAGCAGGAACTAGAAGGGTGAGTGAGGGCCTGCTTTGGGCGTGCTCTCTCTCTCTCTCTCTCTCTCTCTCTCTCTCTCTCTCTCTCTCTATATATATATATATATATATATATATACACACAGCAACAACAACATTTAATCACCTTTATTTATTTACTTTTTTGGTTTGATTTTTGTTAATCCTCACCCGAGGATGTTTTTCCATTGGAGGGAATGACAGAGAGAAATATCAATATGAGAGAAACACATCGATTGGTTGCCTCTTGCAGGAACCAGGGCTGGGTAGGAGCCTGCAACCAAGGTACATGCCCTTGACCGGAATCGAACCCAGGCCCTTTGGTCTGCAGGCTGATGCTCTATCCACTGAGCCAAACCAGCCAGGGCGAGGGCCTACTTTTCACAGAAAGGCATTCCAGGCAGAGGCAGCTGACCCTGCCAAGGTGACCTACCAAGGTGACTTAGGTCTGGGCAGTTCTCACTAAATGCTACTCTTGCTAAATGCTAAAATGTAGCACAGTATTTTTCAGATGCAGATTTAAACAGGATGCGCTTAACAGGAACTCAAGCAGGTAAGTGTAGCCAACTGCAAAGAGCAAATCATGGTGTAATTGACCAAATCTATGTATATAAAAGCCCAAGCGACCTGCTGATCAGTAGCCATGACTTGTACTCACCACCAGGGGCAGATGCTTAATGCAGGAGCTTCCCCCTGGTGGTCAGTGTGCTCCCACAGCGGGAGCACTGCTCAGCCAGAAGCTGGGCTCAGGGCTGGCGAGCACAGCTGTGGTGGCATCAGCCCCTCTCACCTCCACAACAGCGCTAGGAGTGGTGGCAGCAGGCACCGCCTGCCGCTTCCCGCACTGTTACATCCCTCAGGGGATGTTGGCCTGCTGGTATTCCCTGAGGGGTCCTGATGGTGAGAGGGTGTAGCCAGGCTGAGGGACCCCACCAGTGCACGAATCCGTGCACCAGTCCTCCAGTAATGTATATGAGCAGTGGCTGAGCCTCTGTCAGGGAAACAGCTTTGTGAGCAGAGCTCAGTTTGATGTGAAGCCTGTCTCTCCTTTACTTGCCCAAGTTAATGAACTATCTTGCAATGGCCACAGTCTCATCCTTGACTAGAACAGCCCACTTGGTGCATGCTATTCATGTTACCATAGACAATCAGTTAGAGCATGGGCAGCTGGGGACGAGGTGATTGTGGGCTAGCTGGCCCCTCTGGAGGGGTGGGTGTGAGGGGGTGTGCAGAGAATTCGGGCCTGCCAGGATCCAGGCATGTCCTGCAGACTCCAACTGGCCTCTCTGGATGTATGGGCACCATAGCCAGTGTCTGGAGGTGGGCTGAGGGTTGCAGCATCTCCAGACTTCCTGACAGCAGGTCCTGCAGCCACCCACTGCCCCACTGACACTGATACTAGACAGTCAGGGAGCTCTGGGGAGTTCCCCCATTGCCAAGATGGCACAGGGGGAGGTTCTGATAGCAAGCATGCAAAACACTAGAAGGATCAATTGGCTAGGCTTGAGCACACCCAAAGCTAGCAAAACAATTGGATAGAAAATGTTCCTCCCTTCCCTATCCCTACAAGAACCACAGGAAGGGGAGGATGGTCTTTGAGACAGAACCCATCATTCTCCTGGGCCACAGCGCCTGAACAAAGCTCCTTTCTTCTTTCTTTCTTTCTTTCTTTCTTTCTTTCTTTCTTTCTTTCTTTCTTTCTTCTTTCTTTCTTTCTTTCTTTCTTTCTTTCTCTCTCTCCTCCCCCCCCCCCCCCCACACACACACAGAGAAACTGAGAGGGATAGAGAGTTAGAAACATCTATGAGAGAGAAACATTGATCAGTGCCTCCTGTACACCTCCTACCTGGAATGTGCTGCAACCAAGGTACATGACTTGACTGGAATCAAACCTGGGACCTTTCAGTCTGCAGGCCGACCCTCTATCGACTGAGCCAAACCAGTCAGGGCACGAACCTCCTTTCTTTTGTACGAGCACCTGTCTCGCGAGTTTGGCTTTTGTTGAGGCAGCTGAACCTGCATTTCAGTCACATCCCTATTCAGGTGACTGTAATGCTGTGTGCTCCTGATAACTTCTTCTTTCCTCAGGTTCAGTTCTCGCATGTAAAATAAGGAGGTTGCACTGGATGAACGCTGAGGCTCTATAAACTACACTGAGTGGCCAGCTTATTGTGACCACCTGACGTTTGTAGGCAAATTAGCTGTACCCTGCATCGTATGGGATATGGAAGCTGAAGGCCTGTTCGAACACCTTTGCTGTCTGCAGTCACCAAGATAAAACGTCTCCAATCCGCACAGGAACACAAGGATTGGACAGTGGAGCATTGGGAAAAAGTCAGGTGGTCGATGAATCACGTTTCCAGTTGCATCATGCAGATGGCAGAGTAAGAATTTCACAGAAACAGCATGAAAGCATGCACCCCACATGCGTGAGTACCACCCTTCAAGCTGGTGGGGGCAGTGTTATGATGTGGGGCATGTTTTCCTGGCATAATTTGGGCCCTTTAATTCAAGTGGAACAACATCTGAATAGCACAACATATCTAAGTATCATTGCTGACCAAATTCATCCTATCATGTTGATGGCGTATCCCAATGGAGATGGCTTCTTCCAACAAGACAATGCGCCATGCCATGGTGCTCATATTGTGCAGGAGTGGTTTCAAGAATGTGAGGGAGACTTTACCTTGCTTAGGTGGCCCCCACAATCACCAGATCTCAA